AGGGATTTTCCAAGTTTTCATTTGGGCACCTTAAGTTAGATGTGTCTGAATCGTTCAGTAGTAGTAATACATGGCAAGTATACAAGATTATACACATACATGCAGTTTAAAGGGAAGGGTAGTATAGAATTAAGATTGTGGAAGTAGGGGCTGGAGAGATGGCTCAGAGGTTAAGAGCACTGCTTGTTCTTCCAAAGGTCCTGAGTTCAATTCCCAGCAACCACATGGTGGCTTACAACCATCTGTAATGAGATCTGGTGCCCTCTTCTGGCCTGCAGGGATATGTGCAGGCAGAACACTGTATACATAATAAATAAATAAATCTAAAAAAAAAAAAAAGATTGTGGAAGTATTCTGCATGTGTGTGGTAATGAAACATCATGCTTAGAGAAGATTTCCCGAGAACAGAGTAAAAAAGGGTTAGTAACACAAATGATATATGCCCAAGGTGACAGATACAGCTACCCTGGTCTGTTGTATACAAGTGTGACAATGCCACACTGTGCCCTCAAAATATGTGCAGGTACCGTGTTAACTAAAATGTGGGCAGTACTTTAACACTTTAAATATGTAGCGGGTCTTGAGACATTTTAATAAAATAACTTGATGAACATGGGTCAACCTGCCAGGGAGGCAAGAAAAGGCCAGAGGGAAGCATGGAAACCAGAAATTGGTATCATGGCAACCTAGCAGGTAAGAACATTCCAAAAGAATGTTGTCAGTCAACACGTTTGAAAACCCAGGGAAGGCGTCTCAGTCCAACTCAGCCGAGATTCCTAGTAACCATTTGAAGCGTTGTTTTTATGAGGTATTACAGAGAGGAACAACAAGTCTCAAGGGAGTCGCAGAGTGAATTGAGGGGGGTGTGAGAAGAACCAGCTCAGTTGCTGAATACCTAGGATATACCAAGCAGTGGAAATAAATGTACAAAGGAAGGCTAATACTGGTGCAGGATGCCTGCCTGGATTGCTGTGAGTAGTTAAAGAGAATAGTGATGTGGATGGGTGTGAGGTGAGGGGCAGGGGTGCACAGGCATGAGCCCTGGAAAATGACAATTGCAGGTGGACTTTCTGTCCCGCCAGCTAGCTCCCAAATAACCACACAGAGACCTATTATTAATTATGAGTGCTCAGCCGATAGTTCAGTTTGCCACTAACTAGCTCTTATAACTTCAATTAGCCCATATTTCTTGTCTACACTCTGTCATGTGGCTCTGTACCTTTTTCAGTACAAGTTCATCTCCTGCTTCCTCTGCATCTCCTCGAGACTCCCGAGACCCTCCTCCTCCTCTTTGCCTCTCTTTTGTCTGCCAGTCCTGCCTAACCTCTACCTATCCAGCCATTGGCTAATCAACCTCTTTATTAAGCCAATCACAGTGACATATATTCACACAGTGTAATGGAATATTCTACGGTGGTGGAGAAATGGCTCAGAGGTTAAGAGCAGGGACTGCTCTTCTAGAGGTCCTGAGTTCAATTCCCAGCAACCACATGGTGGCTCACAACCACCTGTAATGAGAGCTGGTGCCCTCTTCTGTCATGCCAGCAGAACACTACTGTATACATGATAAATTAATAAATTTTTTTGAAAAAGGAATATTCTACAACAGATGATACTGATGATAGGTAATTTAATACAAACCATAGAATAAACCTAAATTTTTACAACAGCCATATAATTTATTCCAATATTATCATCATTTCCATTTCAGTTAGAAAACACAGAGACTTAAGGAGGCCAAGTGATTTGTCCTAGAACATTCTGAGATACACAGAAGATAAAAGGATTAAAATCAAGTTTGTGATTTTAATGTTTATTAAAATATATGTAGCATATATTTAAATTAAAATATTTTAATATATAATATAAAATATATTTTCTGTATATATAACCACCACATTATATGATGTCACACACAGTTAGGTGATACCACAATTCGCAGAAATGCAAGCAAAAACTAATTGTCTTAAGAAAAATTGAATTACCATAGTGATGGAATACAGGCAGAGTATATCTGTTTTGGAAAGTGGGTAAAGACTTCATTGTTTTATAAATGCAAATTAAGTTGGAAGATATAGCGTACACGGTGTATACTGAGGCCGCATAGAATGTTTTCACTGTCTGGGTGAGCTAATAACAATAAATAGACTGAAGGGTGGGTTTCAGGACCACACTCTGAATATATGTTACTGTTACCAGTCATCAAGGTAGTATGATGACTAGTATGTTCATATTGTGCCTGATGGTAGATAGAACAATAAATAAAATGTTTGTCTTATAAATGATGAGCCATGCAGCACCCCAGGTTTTGAATGTGGCTTTGTTAAATGGCTGGATGAATTCCTGCCTTAAAAGTTGCCTCTTCGTATCATTTACACGGGTACAGTAATGACGGTGACATTTTATTCAAATGAGCAAAGCATGGTTTAATTGCTTTGTGTGGCTTTTAAGAATTACCTCATGACTTAACATACAACAACTTGCCACAGTGCGTTGTACATCGCAGCATACAACCATTTCTGCTACTTTTGTCATGGGAAGTTTTGAGAAACAAGCAAATAGTGTCTTGTAGGAATAACCAGGGAGTAATATTACTTTTCTCAGAGAATAAGCAAGCCTGGAGAATAATTTTTCAAAAATGCATTTTAAGTAAACTTTACAATTTGTAAGATGAGGGCTCTCTCTCTCTCTCTCTCTCTCTCTCTCTCTCTCTCTCTCTCTCTCTCTCTCTCTCTCTCTCTCTTTTAAAACATGCTTTGACTTCTTGGTTTTGCTGGCCTTCTGTAGTATACTAGCAGGATACACAATGGATGGTGGCATGCTCGCTTCTACAGAACTCATTGAAATGATCCAGAGGCTACGAGGATAGCTACCTGTAGACAGGTTTTTCCCCATTTATATTAATCAATATTTTGCCATGTGACTTTTTTTTGGTTTTTCGAGACAGGGTTTCTCTGTGTAGCTTTGCGCTTTTCCTGGAACTCACTTTGTAGCCCAGGCTGGCCTCGAACTCACAGAGATCCACCTGCCTCTGCCTCCCGAGTGCTGGGATTAAAGGCGTGCTCCACCCCCACCCCCACCCCCACCCCCACCCCCACCCCGCCCATTTTTTTTAAAAGATTTATTTATCTATTATGTATACAACATTCTGCCTCCAAGTATGCCTGCAGGCCAGAAAAGGGCACCAGATCTCATTACAGATGGTTGTGAGCCACCATGTGGTTGCTGGGAATTGAACTCAGGACCTCTGGAAGAGCAGCCAATGCTCTTAACCTCTGAGCCATCTCTCCAGCTCCCACCCTGCCCATTTTAACCACAAACAATACCAAGACCAGATAGGTTAAAAACTTGAATATGAAAAGCAAACTGGCTTAAAAGCTCTAAAAGAAATCAGAAAAAAAGGTTTATACATTCTGAGTAGCAAGGATTTTTTTTTTTAAGAGCAAAACACGGACAAATAATAAAGGCAATGTTTGATAAATTTGGCCATATGAAAAACAAAAACTTGGTACCAGGCATGATTCCTGGAATCATAACACAGGCTCGGGGCAATCATTATAGGAGGATCATGAATTTGAAGCAAGTTAGTTCCTCAGGGGGGGAAAAAAATCTTAACTCAAAAAACAAACAGATAAACACCCCGAAAACAAACACTCATAAGAGAAAAATGAAAACAAATGTAATAAGTGCATCATACATATAAAGAATAGAAGATCAGTACAGAGAGCTCTTACCTACATTGGAAAAGATAGAAATAAGCCAATTAAAGACTTGGCAATGAAATAATGTCTCTTTGCAACAGACAGAGACCATTATAGAAAACCACGGCCATTCAAAATGCAGAGAGCAAGTGACCGATCGAGTGATGCCAAGACCTAATTCATAAATCTACACCACAACTCCTGCCTTAAGGCTGAGGGGTCGGTCATAGCAGAAGAGGGGGTAGAAAGAGTGTAAGAGCCAGGGGAACAGGAAATTAGCTGTGAGATTTCCCCTTCTAAAAATGCTGGAGAAGTTACACCAATGGAGCCTCCCCAACGTGGCTGCCTCAACATGACCTGCACAAGGATGACACCAGTGGACATGTTACCATGGAAGGGGGAAATCTGATGAGTAACTAAGTAACAAAGGAAATGGTCTGCTCTTGGGGGGGGAGCCCCCTGTTGGCTGTCCCAGCACCGAGTGGTCAGCCTTGAGATCATATACATGCAAGTAACTTTACACCGGCTGAGCAAGTTGTATTTATAGATTTAGGGGTGTGTGTTTGTGTGTGTGTAAAACAACAATTTAAAGACATAGAGGTATGAATTTGACAGCAAGGGGAAGGCAGGTACATGGGAAGAGTTAGAGGGAAGAAACAGAAACAGGATAGGAAAAACGATGTAATTGTATTTCCATTTCAAAAGACAAAAATAGTTTTTGAAACTTGGCAAAAGATTAAACTAGCACATTTATAGAATTTATTGACGTACGCGTTAAATATGCTCAACTTACCAGTAACCAAAGAAATACACAGTGATATAAAAGCCATGACATGGTTTCCTGCCTATATTAGGCAGAATTTTATACATGAAATAATTAAGTGTTTTTGTAGATGAGAGACTGGAAGAACAAGCTGATTCTACCACGTTGAACAGCATTTGCTAAGACTGACACCTGTTCCACTCTAGAGACATCTATCTCATCTCCACACAGGAGACATGTACAAGAATACCCACCCTAGCATTTGTTGTTGGTTAACAAGTATTAGAAGGGAAACACTATGCGCTTGCCTTAGTCACTGGAATACTGTTGGGCAGGTGGTAATATGAATGGGAATGGCCCCCATAGGCTCATGTGTTTGAAAACTTGGTCCCCAGTTGGTAGAACTGTTTGGGGAGAATCAGGGGGTATAGCTTTGCTGGAGGAGGTATGTCAATGGGGGCAGGCTTTGAGATTTCCAAAGATTCACCCCACTTGCAGTGTGCCCTCTGTCTTTTGCTTGTGGATCGCATTTGTAGATTTCGACGTGAGTTCTCAGCTGCCTGCTGTAGCGCTTCCTGCCATGATAGTGATGAACCCTTGGCCCTCTGGAACTGTAAGACCCAAAGAAACCTTCCTTCTGTAAATTGCCTTGGTCATTTTGTCACAGCAATAAAACGGTAACTAAGACAGACGGTGATAGAGTTGTATTCATTGCTGTGGACAGTCTAACAGTGCTAACTAATAGAAAGTATCAAAAGTAATAGAAATCCCTATATTATAGGATACCATGGGAAGTTCTTATAGGAATGTCTTCATGAGTGACGAAAGTAAGGGACTGAGTTAGATGGATAGACAGGAAGATGTAGGCATTCAGGGGAGAAGGATACAGAGCAGAGAGGGGCGCATTGTTTCCTGAGTTGTTTGTTAGTCCTTGTGAGTTTCATCGGGTTTTTTAAAGCATTGTTGCAACTTGGAAAAGAAATCAGCTGTTACCTTTTACAACACAGCAAAGAGCTGTGTTGCTTAGAGGGATGTTTGTGCTACTGCTCGTTCTCTTGAATCCATTTCACTTGATTGCTGTCTGCTTAAATTCTCAAGGGTGAACAGATCAGTTTTTCTGAGACATGATAGGAGTGAAATTAAACCAGCTGTGGCCTTCCAAGCCCCGCCCCGTCCCTGGCCCCCTCCCACCGTTTTTTTCTAATGTATAACTTAGTTTAAGGTAACTTAAGTTTAAGGTAAACTAGCTTTGTAAAAATAATTGAGTATGTATATGTGTGTGCAGGTGCCAGCAAATGACAAAAGAGGGCATCAGGTCCCCTGGAGCTGGCGTTACAGGTGGCTTGGAGCCTTGACTTGGGTGGGGGGACCTGAACTCAGATCTTCTGGAAGAACAGCAAGCATTGCTTTTCTATCTGATTTTTTTGCAGTGGTAGGGATCAAACAAACCTAAACTTGAGTCATTCTAGGCAAGCAAGTACTCCACCACTGTGTGTGTGTGTGTGTGTGTGTGTGTGTGTGTGTGTGTGTGTGTGTGTGTATATATAGGCAAGAAAGCATACCCACCACTGTGCATATGCACTCTACCACTGTGCATATATATATATACAGTGAAAGATAACTACAGATTTTTGTCCTACACATTAGCATACTATATGTATATGAATGATTCTTGTGAAATTCTATGTAAAAAAGAGATTAAGTGTGACTTTCTTACTCTGAGTGCCCTTTGAAGTTTTTTTTTTGTTTGTTTGTTTTGTTTTTTCGGGACAGGGTTTCTCGGTGTAGTTTTGGTGCTTGTCCTGGATCTCGCTTTGTAGACCAGGCTGGCCTCGAACTCACAGAGATCCGCCTGGCTCTGCCTCCTGAGTGCTGGGATTAAAGGTGTGCGCCATTACCGCTCTGCTAAAGTTTAACAATAACAAAAAGTCATCTGTTTTCCCTGTTGAACTGGCAAGAAGCTTTGTTGGTGTCACATTTGCCCAGAATATTGAGAAAGCATCCATCTGCAGCCCTTAGCGTCCAATGTTAGTTCAGAAGAGAGAAAACCGATTCTGTTTCACTCACTGCCTCCCTCCCAACCCCCAGATGTTGTAGTCAGTGCTTAAATCACTCATTAAGGGTTGTCTGCCTTGGCACAGGTTTCCATGTCAGGGTGGGGCGTTAGAAGACAGATCTTCCCTTAAGGAACTGGTAACAGAGTTTGTGTTTTCTTAATCATATAGTGATAAGTGAAAGTACAGGGACATTTTATGTAAGTCTCATGTGTACTAGTAGTCTACCCATTCATGCCTTCAAAGTAGATCAGTTTCCATAGGAATGAAACTAGTGATTAGAAACAAGGGTGATACTGGATTTGTGTCCTCAGCTGTTTCCAAAGGACCAAAATCATTCAGATAACTTGGCTGACAATTCCATAAGGGGCGTTGTTTTTCAAATCCTCCATAAAACTTTATACCTAAAGCTTTTGTGTTTTTCTGTTTTTGTGGATGTGTTTATTTGGCTGGCTGGTTGGTTGGTTGGTTGGTCAGTCAATTGGTTGGTCAGTTGGTTGGTTAGTTGGTTTTTTTGTTTGTTTGTTTGTTTGTTTTTCGAGACAGGGTTTCTCTGTAGCTTTGGAGCCTGTCCTGGACTAGCTCTGTAGACCAGGCTGGCCTCGAACTCACAGAGATCCACCTGCCTCTGCCTCCCGAGTGCTGGGATTACAGGTATGCGCCACCACCGCCTGGCTGGCTAGTTGGTTCTGTTGGTATATTTTATTAGTTAACTTGTTTTGTTGTTGCAACAAAATGCCTGCCAAAAGCAACTTAAGGAAAGAGGAGTTTATTTTGGCTTTGAATTTGAGAGTACAGTCTATCGTGCTAGGGTAGTCATGGCAGCAGGTGTGGGAGGCCTGGTCGTATCGCATGGATGTTGAGGAAGCCAACATCTGCAGCTCCTGGAGTTCAGTGTTGATTCAGAAGAGGGAGCGCCCAAGTAGTAAACTCGGAATACTTGTGATCAACTCACTTTCTCTTTTTTATCCAGTCCAGGACTGCAGCCCATGGAATGCTGCCACCCACAGTGGATGGGTCCTCTCACCTCAATTAGCGTAATCTACATCATCCTTTACAGTCTTGCCCAGAGGCTCACCTCGAGGTGATTCTGTGCTGTTGACATTCAGAATTATCCATCATGGTTGAGTGTGGTTGTTTTGTCTTTTGGTTAGATGATTTGTTAGAGAGGGGGCGGGGGGGCGGGATAAGACTTTCTGAACTTAGTAAACAGTTTTTGAGGGGAAAAATTCACATAATATTTTCTAAATTTTTATCCTAGAAATACACTGAAGTTGATCAGACTTGGGGGTTGTTTTTACAAGATTATGCAATATACTGTATAGATATAAAACATATAAATCATGCGATTTCTTGTTCAAAGTAAACAGTCCAGGGTTTTGAGAATTTTAGAGCTTGAGTATGAATCCTTTGTGGTAGCCCTGTGACAGATTCTTCCGGAGAGGCTCCTGCTCGTTTTCTCATTTCCCATCCACGCCTGTCAACATGGCTTTGATCTGAAGAAAAGCACCAAATATAGAGCAATACTCAGTCCCTTCAAAGGATGGCCATCCTGCCTTTGTCAGGGGTTCTCAGAGGAACTCAATGACAGGCTGAATCCTTTGTGCTCACGGTAAGCACTGCACAAGTGCCTCCCACCCGGCCACAACTTCTGTTCCTCCCACTTATGATTCATAACCACCCCCACACCACCCCCAAAGAGACTCTAGCCACTAGGCTTCCTGCCTTTTCATTACTGGTCCCCTGTGTCCGCGTCTCTGCCTTTGGGCAGCTTAGATTGCTTGGTCCCTTTACATTCATGCTCTTGATCCTTTGTCCCTCTGTGTGCTTACCCACAAAGACTCCAGCTGGGTTCATTGTCTCCCTGCCTCCTCTTCCAACCCCAAAATGTCTATCTAAATTTGCTTGACTAAATAACTGGTTGACTGGTCTCACTCACTTAACTAACGTTACTTCCTCAAAGCCCCAGGGGAAGTCTGCTGATGCCTACCTTGCCCTTTTAATGGATTAGCCCTAGTCCTTACCCTTCACTGTAAGCGCTTCCCAGCTCCCATCAAGGCAGGGGAGGTGGCCCCAGGGTTAAAACGTTTGCTGTGTAATCAAGGAGACTAGAGTTTGGATCCCCAGAACCCACGTGAATGCCAGGTGGGTGTGATGGCCCACCTCTGTAATTCCAGCACTTAGAACACAGAGATGGGTGATCCCAGAACAAGCTGGCTGATCAGAACTGCTCTAACAGCCAACTCTGGGTTCAGATGAGAGTCCCCACCTCAGAGTGTAAGGTAAAGACTGATGAGGGGGGCTGGAGAGATGGCTCAGAGGTTAAGAGCACTGACTGCTCTTCCAGAGGTCCTGAGTTCAGTTCCCAGCAACCACATGGTGGCTCACAATCATCTGTAATGAGATCTGGTGCCCTCTTCTGGCCTGCAGACATACATGCAGGCAGAACACTGTATACATACTAAATAAATCAACCTTAAAAAAAAAAAAAAAAAGACTGATGAGGAAGACTCCAGATGCCCACCCCACTTCAGGACAATTAAAATTTTTATATATATATTTGGGCTGGAGAGATGGCTCAGCAGTTAGGAATGCTTACTGCTAATGCACAGGACCTAGATTCACAACCATCTGTTATTCCAGTTCTGAGGGATCTCAAGTCTTCTTCTGGCCTCCGTAGGCTTCCACACACACAGCACACATAAATCCTCACAAGTAACCACACATACACGTAAATAAAATGTTTAAAAATGAAATTTTTAAAAAAATGTTTATCCTCTAATGTAAATGATAATACCTTATCCGTAAAAGCGAACCATGACATTTAGAGAATTGGCTGGACACTTGTCTATAGACCGTGACCTTCAGAGTTGTTTCTATCAAGCAGCTTTGTTCTTTTACTCTAGTTTTTGTTAAGTGAAAAATGGGACCTTTTCACCCACAGGCAGGGATCTCTGAGCTCCTCCGGTTTGCTCTGGGCCTGGTCTAGGCTGCCTTGTTTCCCCAGTTTTTTACAGGGATGGAGAACTTGGAATGGAGGCTGCTCTGGTGTCTCCTTAGGTAAAGTGGTCCAACTGTAGACATCACCAAGGAAGTACCATGTACACGCCGGGATGCGCACTGCCGGAAGGTCTTGTTTGCTGGATCAACAAATGCATCCCTGGTCCCCACTGTTGAGGGTCAGCAGCAGAGGCGATGTGGTGTGCTGTCTTCCTTGTGAAACCTCCCTCTGGTGCTTTTTTTTTTTTAGTGCTAAGGTCCTCTGTCTCCTGTGTTTTCAGCTCACGGGGCTCCAGCCATATCAGGAGCGCTCCCAGCACAACAGAGAGTCCTGGAGAGCAAGGAACTGTCACGGGCGTGTTTGTCACTGAAGATGCTTGGTAGGATGTAGAGCCCTGTAAGCATCCACACCAAACATTCACAGTAACATTCGGGAAAAGAAGGGACTGGAGACGCAGGCGGTGAAATTTTGTCAGCACAGCATCCTAAACATGGTTTCTCTTCCATTTTATGATAACATTATTTTTAATTTATGATGTGTGCATCTCATTTTTCTCCTCTTCAGACAGGAAGCAAAGGCAGATTGGTTGATAGGAACTAATCAGCTAATATGTAGGTTCTAGTTCCTTTAATGGAAAAGACAGACATCAGTTGGCTGATGTTTGATGTGGGATTGGTGAGTTTGTTTTTTTTTTTCTTCCGGCCTGAATACTTGCTTTTCTTATCATGCCCATATGTTCTGTGATGGTAATCTGTTTGTTTTCTTTCTCCAAACAAGAAAATTACTATTAAGACTCTATTGGAGTTCCTTTATTGCTTTGACTTGCTATGTTCCGAAGTCATTTACTCCTCTGTTTTCCTCTCATTTTTGACTCTTTTATATAAAGAGCATTATATTAAAGCTAGCCTTTGGTGTCCAGCTTCTTTAATGTAACTCAATGCTTGGAAGGTTCATCTGAGTTATGAAATTAATCAGCAGCCCATTTTTATGAACAAATAATCATAGTAAAGATATGCTGTATTTGTTTCTTTATTATCACAGCATTGGACGTTATGATCAATGCTGCCTTGCACATTTTCACACAAGCTTGTATGGATATGTTTTCACTGTCTTGGGTTTATGTCTAAGGTTTATGGTAATTCTGTGCTTCAATTTAATGTCTCTCAGTGTCTACATTCTACAGTCCTACCAACAGTGTCTGCGGGCTCCAGGTTCTCAGCATCCCCCCTAAACTTGGTACTGTCCGTTATTTATTTCAGCCATCTTGGTGTATGTGAAGCAAATGTCCTTGTAGTTTGATTTGGTGTTGCTGGTGATGTTCAGCATATGCTTGTGAGCTCATTGGCTGTTTATGTATCATTAGATGAGTGCTGTTCAAAGCTTTGTCCATTTTTAATTGGGTTATATATCTTTAATCCTTGAATTGCAAGTCTTTGTGTCTGTGTACAAGTCGTTGTTTATCAAGTATTTGCTCCAAAGATACTTTCTTCCATTTGTCTTAGCTGTCTTGATGGTATCTTAATCATACAAATGGTAAAGTCCAGTGTATGTATTACTTGATTTTGGTGTTATACATAAGGAAATTCTGTCTGGTTCAGGAATACTTAACCCACACCATATACATCCCAGGATAGCTATGAATGTGACCAAATACAATCGTCATATAGCCGTGGAACAGGTTGGACACTCCTGGGTCCAGATCAAGAAAACTTAGTCCTATTTCCTTCTAAAAATTTTATAGTTTTAGCTCTTCTATTTAATTCTTTAACCTTTGTTGAGTTGATATTATATATGGCATGAAGCCAAGGTACAAATTTATTCTTTTAAGTGTATCTAATTTTCCCAGCATCTTTTGTTAAAAAGATTATGTTTTCCAAAATAAATTTTCTTGGCAGTTGTGTGAAATCAGTTGGCCCTGTGTTAACGTATGGGCTTATTTCCGACCTGTCAAATCTGTAGTGTTGATCTGTAAGTCTTTTGAAGGTACTAGGGATCAAACATAGGACCAGATACATACCAGTCATGGACCTAACCATTGAGCGACCTCCTGAGTTCCACACCACATTGGGCACTGTAATTTGCTGGGAACTTTTGTAGTTTGGAGTATGTTGTCTAGTTTTTTACTCATGTTACTTTAGCCGTGTGGGTTCTTTGCACTTCTGTGTGAATTTTAACGTCAACTTAAACTTTATGTAAAAGAAAGCGGCTAAAAGTTTGATGAGGATTGCTCTGAGTACCTTCGTCAGCGTTGGGGGGGGCGGGGTACTACTGCTATCTTTTTTACAATAGAGTCTCAGTATATATAGATAGTCCAGTGTAGTGGAACTCATGATCCTCCTGCCTCAGCCATCCAGGGACTGGGATTACAGACATTTGCCACCACACCTGGCAAATGTTGCCATCTTAACAATGTGCATTTTCAGATCCCTGAGCATAGCATATGAAGTATCTTTCCATTTGGTTGGAGTTTTAATTCCGTTTAGTGGTGGCTTATAGTTCCCATAACACATAGTTTGTTAAATTTATTCCTAAATATTTTAATTTTTGATGCTATTCTAAATGGAATTATTTCTTAAGTTTATATTCTAGCAGTTTGCTCCTATTTAATTGGATTTTTTATTGTAGTGAAATATATGAAACAAAGAAGTTACCTTTTTAATAACTTTAAGTATACAACTTACTAGCAGGAGATTTATTCACCAAACTCACAACGTTCTGTTACCACTGTTTATTTCACAACTTTTTGGCATTCCCAATAGAAACTTTTTTACCCATTGAGGAATAAATATGATCACCCTTCCTCCCAGACACTAGTAACTTTCACCCCAACTCTACCTATTTGAAATCCTACAAGTAAGTGGGCCATTGCATGTCTAGTTTCTTCAGTTAGCGTAATATTTCCAGGTTTTCCCCATGATAGTATTATTGGAATTCCATTTTGTAGCTGAATACTGAAAGGTTT